TGGCACAACCAATGGTTTTTCCATTCAAAACTGGTTCTTGTCTCAGCAAAGCAGAAATTTCATGTCTGACGAAAAAAAACCTCACCCCTAGATAAAAAACAGCTATAAAAGATCTCATCTTGTGGTTCTTTTTTAATATAACAGCAAATATAAACCAGAAAAATAATAGGTGATCAATTTCTGACACTTTTAAGTATGGAAAAATTAAACACAACTCAACTGTATTGGACTCTCCCATCCTCAAGGTCAGGGAGTACCACACCAGTGTGCTCCTCCCATTCTTTATTAACAGACCAAATAAGACTAAACTTTACCCAGAAAAAGCAGAGARTGAACAAGCGCTGCAGTTTGATGTCACACATGCAGTTCTGTCCTATTGGGAATACACAGCCTTGAAAGAGTTTGACATGAGCTGCTGTCCCATGCACCTTTATAACCCATCATGTCCAATCCTAAACAATTTCAGGGTGGCCAGAAAGCCAGATGGAAATCAGTCCTTGGCTCTCARCTGCAACAGGCAGGTTGCAAAGACTCGACCAAAATTTGACAGGTTAGCATAAGAAAAAATTGCACAGGAGACTGAATTAATTTTCAGCGCTCTGTGCTCTTGAGCATGGTTTTAAGGACCAGGTGAGTGAACATCCCCTTTGCAAATGAAAAATTCTGCTTTCTCAGAGTAAAGAATGTGCAGAGAACTGTTTGATGAGCAGGAGGTTCCAAGGGAAATCAAGAACAGCCAATATGTGTCTCCCTTGCTCTGAGCACGACTGGAGGTTACACTGCACAGAGCCCAGACTAACCTGAGCAGCTGAATACACTTAACTGCCTGTAGTCAGCCCCAGGGAAAAGAAATTTATTGCTGGATAAACACCAAATCATCTAACCTGACCAAACCTCAGCTTCTTTTGTCAATCTGGACAAAACTTAGCCTTGCAAATATATTTTTGTATTGTCTTGAGAATCTCTGATACTCCCACCTGAAGAGCTAACCTCAGGGCTCYCTGATTCCCAGCCAAGTGATAAAAAGCTGTACCCATCACACGCAGGGATGGAGAAAAGCACAGCCTTATTGTCCCACCTGCAGGGATGCAGCCACCAGGGAAAGGACAGCAAGGTCCAGGCAAATGGGAGTCACTATGGGTTGGGGGACATGAGTCTCTGTCCACTGAGTGGTACAAACAATTCATGACCACTCTGCAAGTGTCAAACAACGGGCTGGGAGCATCAGTTTCTGGAACAAGACTCCATATGTAGGGCAGGGGTGGAGTCCCCATCCCTGGAGGGGTTTAAATGCCATGTGGCACATAGGGACATGGGTCAGTGGTGGCCTTGGCAGTGCTGGTGGAAGAGCTGGATCAGTGATCTTGGAGGGCTTTTCCAGCCTAAACAATCCTGTGATTCTGTGAACTGACTCCTGAATCTCATGTCCTTCTACACCTCGGTTGGGTCAGCAGATCTTCCAGTGCAGCTGCAGGCTGTTGTGAGCGCTCTCCTCCCCCACCACTTTGGCAGGACATCAGACACCCTCAGAGCCATCCAAAACCGGCAGCACTCAAAGGAAAAACAGTGTCTGGCTGCAGCTTTGAGCCGCTCCTTTGCACAAAGGCTCAGCCACAGTCACACAATCCTAACTCTCCATAAACTCAAGTGAAGCAGCATAAAGCTCAACAATAGCCCTCCCTTGTAATTAATACCTGTAGTGTAAATTAATCCAGGCTGCCAGTAGAAGCTGCTGGGTAAATAAGAATCTGTGACACTATCCCTGTCAAAGGCCCATGGGCATACGATGCCATGGATGTGAATGCAGGGAATAGAGGATTATTCAAGCGGGAACACTTAAAATGTAACCTGTTCTCCTTGAGAAATGTGTGGAACCTGACAGGAGGCATTTTATTCGGGTAACTAAATGCAATCACTCAGGTGTCTGCAATTGCTAAGTGCTGTTGCTATCCTTGGTAGCTCTATTTGGATCCTGAAAAGTACTCTACTTTTGTTTTTTGAGTGTGTGTCCATTTTTTCCACTATATGTTGACTGTTTTTTGCCACGTGTTCTGTCCTGCATTTTTAATAATTCCTTCYCCCTCCCTTTAAATTAATCTCTTCAAAGCTCACAGGTTACAGGAATTCTCTGTCTGGTCTGTGTTCCTCATCAACAAAGAGACTGAGTCTGCCCATAGCTTAGTCAGTTTTGGTATAAGCACCAACAGCTCCCTTTCAAACAGGCTTCAGGTGCCTCTTCAATGAATCAAAAATATGACAAAGGCTTCGTTTTTGTCAATTCCACATCCATCCCACACAAAGCACAGAGAAGGTCCCAGCAGTGACCTGCAGTACAAAAGAGGAAGGTAAATCCTCATGACAAAGATGGGAAAACTCTCTGGGAGAAGATCAAAAGCTGAAGGTGCTGCAGGAGATGGAACATGGAAGAAACTTGTTTGATTACCTCCAAAAACATTCCCGACTGTGACAGCGRATGGAGCATGAAAGCAAAGCACGAAGATAAGTTCGGCAACAACAGTGTCTGAGTGGTTCATAAAGAAAAACTAAAAAAAAAACCAAAGGGATTGAAGATGTGATTGAAAAGACATAAACAGAAAGGAAAAGAATATGGCACTGAACACTGCTAATGACAATACAGACTTAGGAGAGAATTACTAATCTTTCCTTACATAARCTTACATATTTTTTTGTTGTCCAGGGGCCTAAGAAATATTAATACTSAAAGAGTAAACACTATTAATTACTATTTAATCCATTGGAAAGGAAAAAGAAAACCCAATCAAATTCAGGGCAAATAACTTGTATGTACAAAAAACACCCCCTACCCTACCGCAATCTCATTTCAGACCTTTACGTATCCGGAGGGAGGCAAATTAATTCAGATACATTTACATTCGCAGCTGACRGTTCACCACAGCAGTCTGGGGATGTTTATCTTTCATTAATTATGGTTCAAGAGGAACTGCAACCTGAGATAGCTGAGCTAACCCTCTCCTCTTACAGCTCCAGACCTGGCACCTGGAAGGCRTCCAAGCCTTCACCCATGGCTCTGGCCTCATCCCAGCTCCGTGCGGGCGGCAGAGCCCAGCCTGTGCTGCTCCAGAGCGGGGGTTTATCTCTCAGAAAGGTGCTGAGAGCTGAGGCATTTCTGACAAACGCCTGACTAAATCTCTCTGTCACACACGGGAGATGATCTTACTCATATTTATCCTGGGCCAAGCACGTGGAGAGCAGTTCATCCACGACCCGGAGCTGCCTCTCCGGAAGAGCGAGCGCACAGGACTGGCTGTTCTGCTTGTGAAATGTAAATTCCATTGGAGCTGCACTCTCCTGTACCAGCTGAGGGTTTAGCCCACGAGTCCTTTCCTGCTGTGAGACAGGTGTTGAGCAGGATGGAGGAAATCRCACACATTCCCTTGAATCATCTCTCCCGGGCAGGGGCAATATTAAATTCTGATAAGGTGTTGTGTCTTTTAAAGATCTATTAAGATTGAAAGGTTGACTTACTCCTCAAGGGAACCTCTCCTTAATTGTACAYTGCTTTGACTCATGCACTGCCTTCTCCAGAGCCCTCCTGCCCCTTGAGYGCCCTCAGATTCTCCATTTCACAAATTGATTTGGATTAAAATAGCAGCAGGATACCTCAGCACACACAGCTCCAGTGGTAGCTGGGTGGGTTTTCAGCAGATAACATCTCTAAACATTATCTCACTCCCTTGTGGCTGCCACCCTGGGGATGCCTGCATTTTTAAAATGATTTAAAATTATTATTTAAAATGAAATACCATTTCTTGTCAATTGATAYTATTTGTGCATGCTAGCTCACATGCAGTATCCTTTAATCCTTACATCTTCAACATACCAAAGATCTTTTAGGTGGTTGTATCTCAGTAGTGCAGAATTACTCAACAGTTCTGGGTCAGTTTAGTGTATTCTTTCACTGTTAACATGACCTCAATAAAAATAAAAGCACTTTGCCCTTCTCGATATCTGTCAATGCTSACAGCACTGYTTAGGGYTGGCAATAAATCSATTTTACCAAAAAAATTGCTCCTARGTGGTAATGTCAGCAACATTATTGYAAGACATCTACTAATTATYCTCAATAAGATTCAGTACWAGCAAAACCACAAGTTTTCTCTTTTTACCACCAAACCGTACACCTCTCTTTCCCCTCGGACGTGTGGCTGGTGGTGTTCACTTCCTTGCCCAAAATTCAGGTCCCAGAAAGGAGCAGAGCCCTGGTGAGCCTGTCAGGAAGACACAGCTCTGTCTCCTCATCAGCACTGGCAGATGGAGYGCTGACATCCCACCTGAGGCTGCTTTTCTGGCTCCTCTTTCCCACCTGATCGCCTTCCCACTCACGGGAYGTGCAGCACACACGGCAGGGACTGCACGCTATGAGCACATCTGAGAGCACGTGTCTGGTGTGCAAGCTGTCCTGGCTCCGTTTCAACATCATTAGCTTCAAACCACGCTGAAAAAACACGCACCAGCTCAACGTGGGCATCGTACACATGCACAGAGCAAAAACGGCGTGCAGCCACAGCAAGGGGGTTGGATTCTTGGTGGAAATTTCCTGCAGGACAGCTCCAGAGCCTGAAAACATTTAACTTTATGCACMRGASTTTGGGCAGCACTCAGGGCTATCAGCTGCATCTGCCAGGRTAGGAGGCCTCTCATCTGCATGTAGCCATTCAATCCAATTTAATGTTGTTATCACGGATCCCCTGGTACTTGATGAGCAAGAGGAGCTGCTCCAAACAGTGATTTATCCCACCCTGAGATGTCAGATCTAACACTGGAAGAAGAAATCACCCTCTGGGGACATCTTGCATCTTCCTATATCTCTCTCCGCTGACTATAAAGAAAACTTAAATTAGCTTAGACTGCGCAATTACTTTTTATATGATGAGATCATCTCAAAGCAACCCTGTCCTTTTTTTACAAGGCACCAGAAAGCCAAGAAGTTTTTTTTTTTTTTTCTGGAAAATCCTTACTTTTGGGGACATCCATGGGATTCAGGCTGCCGATGAGGTCTCTGACATACAGTCCATCCCCATCCTCCTTGCTCAGCCAGTTGTTGCAGGGGAAGTAGAAGCGGAGGTGAGGTCTGTTCATGTCCGTCACAATCACGCGGTCCAGGAACCATCCCGCGTTCAGCCCGGTATTGTCGTGCTCGATCCTGCCGGAAGAACAGCCCTGGTTTGGTGTTCTGGTTATGACTGGCTGCTAACACCGTAATTTTGTGGAATTTTGTGGAATTTTGTGGAATTTTGTGGAATTTTGTGGAATATCATATACCAGGCCAGGCTGGAGCAACCATACGCAAAAACCAGCTTATGGCTGTGTATCCAAAGAGTTTCACAGAACTTACGGGCTTTTGCAGGGTAGGTTAAAAATACCAGCCTTCCATATGGGCAGAGAYCACAGGTGACTCTGTGAATCTGTGATCTGCAAGGTGATGCACACAAACGTACACAAACCTCCACGTTCATTCAACATATGCATTCATTCACCTTGCGATGCACATCTGAAACWCGAGGGACTCACTTCCCACCCGGTGCCCCTCCTTCTCTATTCTCCCTTTACATTGTTTTAACCACCTCTTCCCGGCTTTCTTTGTACTACTTGCTAATTTTAAATTTTATACCAGTCAGTCAGAAGGTGGTTAAACATAATAATTATCATTTACATTACACTAAGTTAGTAAAAGCAGATAGCAAACCCCATTTACCTCCACCRGGACATAAAAACAGTCCTAAACGTCTTTCCCCATGATAGCATRTGACAGAAATACAATTCTTGGTGGGGAGCACAGATACTCATAAGCAATACCGCAGGTGATTTCACACTTCAGTTCAAATCTTCGGCAGTAAACAAGCTTTTACCACCCCTTAACTTCGCCTTGATGGGAGCACGTTAAGAAATAATGAATAAAACATGGCAGTGCTTAAACCTCTACAGCCTGTCATCCGATTAGCGCCTCACGGAGCAGGTGCTGTGGCAGCAGCGCTGTGCAGGTACCTTATTTTCCTTATTTGTCCGACGTTATTGGTTTTCACTCGGAACACATCTGTTTTGCTCCTCTCAAAGGCCGTGCTGCTCCTGCAACGCACATGCATCAGAAAGGGTGGTRAGAAACCAGCAGCCCTGACAGCAAACACGCCAGTGCTAGCGTTTCAGGAAAAAAGAACTGTCATTCCCAACGCTGAAAGACCTAATTTTCAATGCCCTCTCCCCCTGGCAAGTTCTGGATGCTCTAAGTACTGACATTTCGCAGAGTTTTCCCCTTCTCAGGCTCCAAGAGTTCTTCCAGAGGTAGAAGGTTTTTTTGGGGAAATGCAATATGCTTTCTGTCTCAGAGTCCTGCTCCCAGACTTGTCCTCTCTGTCATCCTACCCTCCAGGCACCAAGCAGACCCGCTCTTGGTGATGGAGCAAAGGGGATCCACAGCCCAGCAAGTTCCCTGTGTGGCCACAGATCTGCCCAGAGCTCAGCCAGAGATAAAAGCATCCAACCACACCCAGATTTCCAGACCTGTCTCCCACCGCTTTATTTAACAACTACTGAATCTTGTTTTGATGCTTTCTCCTACACTCTGCACCCCTTTATTCCAAGTAAAACAATTGTGGGAAGGAAGTGCTTTTGACTTTTTTGGTGAAGCGTTTAAGTGTGCGGTTTGTATTCACAGGTGCAAGTGCAAAAGCAATATAAAGTCTATTGGCCCAGGTCAGGGAATGTGGGGATTTAATTCCCAGTTCTGCCTCTAGCCCGGGGTGTGATCCTTGGCAAGCACCTCCGTCCTTTCCCCAGCTCGTTTTTTCGAGGAAAACGCTATGAATAACATCAAGGCAAAGCTCCGAGGACTCAGCAGCCTCTCCCACCTGCCCTCCCCGCCGGGCCCCCATTTCCCCTGGGCAGCTGAGCACGGCTACGGATGATTAAACCCAGCAAAATCCAACATTCGTATTAAAACGAACGAGAAACCGCAGCGGTCGGGCGGCGCAAAGCCGCAGTGAGGAGCGGGATGTTAATGAATATTAATAACTCCAGCGAAGGGCTCGGCTGCGCTCTTCCCCACCCCAGAAAGGACCTGCATGTGCCTCGCTCACAGGTTGGTGTTGTGCTAAACCCAGCCCAGCCTTCCTCCTCCTCCTCCTCCACCCTGCACCCGGGATGAGCCCCGGTGTGCGAGGAGGATGCTAAAATGGTTAACCTTGCCGCCGAGGCGAGAGACAATTAAAGCCGGCTCAGCCTCCCCCAACGTGCCGGAGAGAAGGCAGCCCGAGAGTGCGAGGCAATTAGTCTGTCAGGCTTGAATGAGCATCGTAATGACAGCAGCTCTTCCCCGCATTGGCTCGGAGATCGATGCCGTGCTGCAGACTGCTACCGAGATGGCATCCGAGTATTAAGTGAGAATAATCAGCCCAAAGCTCTCCGTCCCAGGGCTGGACTTTCTTACTGCTGGGATGGATGCTGGGGGGCGAACTCCTTCTGGAGGGCAGCTCAAAGTGCCCACTGAGCAGATGCTGAGTGCATCCCAAAATAGCTCGGGGAAGCGTTGGGAARCGTGGCATAGTCCAGGAGTCAAACCCCTGGGAGCTCTCTCTGTCGAAAGGTAGGAAGAGTTTTGACAAGTCTCTTCCCTTGAGACGGATCTGCAGCATCAACAGCACCGGGGAAAGAAAAATCCAGCCCTTCCTTCTGGCTCTGCTGACTGCGTGGGGAGAGAGTGAGTGAGGGAATATCCCACACTGAATGGCTACAGTGAAATTTAGCCTAAAAAAAAAAAAAAAAAAAAAAAAGCAAGAGTGAAAGAAAAGGAGAAATTACATCTGGGCTGTGTCGTGGTCTGGTCCAGGCTAGGACTAGGATTAAACATTCGCAGCCAGATTACCATAAGGAACTTGTTGCACCAAACAATGAAGCACACTGGCTTGCACAGCCCTAGTGACAARTAAAGCAGGAAAAATATGACTTGGAAATTGCAGCACTAAATTTCCAATGTTCAGGCTTGACTGTGTTCAAACCCAGGGACCTCAGACCACAAGTTTAGTCTAAGGATCTGCTGAATTTCACTAGAGCCCTGTCATTAACCTGAAATAACAGGTCAGGGCAACTCCAGAARTATGTTCCAGTTGGATATTTTTATTTGACATATTTGATTTGCTTTAGCAACTCTATTTTTCTATATTCTATGACAGCATTTTCCCCAATTACTTTGTAAGAAACATCCAAGGACCTTCATCAAAGACTAGTATATGAAATTCTTACTCTTTTTTTTTTTTGTATCTGAAGCTGTTTTCAGATCCTTTCAGTTGAGTAATTGCCTGCAGGCTGCGCTGCTTGCGGTTCTGCAAATGTACAATCATTCAGAACACTTTGTCCCCTGGTTGGGTAAGTGGTGCTGCTAAGAGTCATGGCAAGAACTGGTACACATTCGAGTGTAGCATTTATAAATCCCTGCATTCATCTCCTCTGAAGGCCATGGGCACAGACAGCAGAGCCAGTGCCCTGAGGGTTTTGCTCCTTCTTGGTGCACTGACAAGAAGWAAGCCTCAGTGATGCAGGTTTATATGAAAAAGTACAGAAAATAAACATTTGTGCTAGTAATTTCTTTTTTTTTTTGCTAGTAATTTCTTTTTCTTTTTAACGAAGGTGAATTAAAAATAATTGATCCCACCACCTAAATGAAAGTCACATTTGAAATGGAAATTTTGAATGTTTGTAGATAGCAGTCTTCACTTTTGATCAGCTAACAGCTCCCTTGTCACCCTTGAGTTCTTAGGAACAGAGAGAAAACCTGGGTACTGATCACAGCAGAGGCATAAAAATAATGACCTTCAGCAGTGATGGAGTAACCTAAACCAATTTAGCTTTGAATCCCTGCTTAAGAATCATTTAAATTGCCTTTCCATTAGGTCTTTTACCTGAAAATGCCTCATACACAGCAAAAGCGCCATGGATTAAGGGCTGCACAGAAGCACAAAGCGTTGTTCTGGATGTCAGTTCAAACAAAATTTTAAAAATGCTCCATTAAACCATGAGRGTCAGTTCTTGGTTGCATCTCCCTGAAATGCTGCCCACAGGTTCTGCCTGCTCCTGCCACTGGTGTTTAGCAGCAGATGAGGAGCTGGGTATTGGGGATGATTTTGGAAGGTCACACAGCACAAACCATCCAAAATCCTGCCACTCTCTAGGGAAAAATAATTCCTGCTTGGTTCACCTGCTGGGCAAACCAACACTGCAGATGGGCAGTGTGGAATATCATGGAATCACAGAATCATTTGGGTTGGAAAAGCCCTCCAAGGACATCAAATCCAACGCTTCYCCCATCACTGCCAAKGCCATCACTGACCCATGTCCCCAGGTGCCACATTCACACAGTCTTTAAACTCCTCCAGGGATGGGCAGCTGTGCCAGGGTTGGATCAGCCCTTTCCATGAAGGAATTTTCCCCAATGTCCCCCCTGCCTCTCCCCAGCCCATCCTGAGGCCGTTCCCTCTCCTCCTGTCCCTGTTCCTGGAGCAGAGCCCGACCCCCCCGGCTGTCCCCTCCTGTCAGGGAGTTGTGCAGAGCCACAAGGTCCCCCCAGAGCCTCCTTTGCTCCAGGCTGAGCCCCTTTCCCAGCTCCCTCAGCCGCTCCTGGGGCTCCAGACCCTTCCCCAGCTCCGTTCTCTGCCCTGGACACGCTCCAGCCCCTCAATGTCCCTCCTGTCCTGAGGGGCCCAGAGCTGTCCCCAGAATTCAAGGGCTGTCAGAGCTGAATGAGAGGCAGAGGAAGGAAAAGAAATTTCTTCTCTAAAACACACAAGCAATCCTGCTCTGTCCCCKTATATTTGCAATTGCTATAATGTGCTCTCTCCACACCTTTTTTTCATGTAGGATTTCCTCTTCCACCCCTCAGCCAGCATCCCCTGTAAAGGTGCCATRGAAAGGTGGCGGGGATGAGCACTGGTCTATCCCTGCTGTTTTCCTGGCTTGACAGCACGGGCAGCTTTCCTCATCCTCAGGCTGTCCAACACACATTTTATGCTGTGTCAATCTGTGTTATCAGGCCTCYGGCTCAGATGGCATCTTGCCAGAAGATGCAAAAAGTATCGGAAAAACGCTGACAATGTGTTGGCCTCATCCCTCTGCCCCTCCCCACACATTCCCTATCGATCACTCCTGGAGAGAGGACACTGTCCTGTACAAACTAACAAACAGCCTAACTAAAAAAAAAAAAAAACAAACCAAAAAAAACAAAAACCAAACCCATATGTTCAAACCGTATTTACTCTTCGCGCAGAGCTCCAATCGCAGCATCATTAACCTCCTCCTTGGAGCAGCAAATACTCCACGGAGTTTGGTCTGCAAATATTTAGCCAAGACTGCTGTCATGAAGCTGACAGCATCAGTCAGCGGGCGGCTGGGAATGCCACGTGAGGCAGCATACRTCCAAAACCACTCCAGATGGAAAAGAATCCGGCAGGAGAGCTCAGCCACTGTCAGTGCCTCTGTACCAAGGACATTATCGATCAGCAGAATGAATCCTGCTCAAGCAGGCACGAAAAAAATGGTGAAAAAACAGTCCCCCTTGAAAGAGTTTAATTGGATGAGATAAATTGCTCAGGGCTGTAGCAGCGTGATGACACCTGGGAGCCAAACTCCAGCCCAAAATCCTGGGAGGCTGAATTCACCCCAAAACTTTACAGAGTGCCACCCTGGAACAGACTCTGCCTTATCCATAAGCATTCCAGGTACAGATTCAGACAGYCTTAATTGCAGACATTGAGTAAGTGCTCCTTCACTTTGTACTGCACGGAGCAGCATCATCTTAGAATCAGTTTTTCATCTTTGGTGGTGTGATTTGCATAAACAAAATAAAGCACTGGTGTTTAATTTAGATAATCTTAGCTACGCTTTATCATAAAATCATTGAATCATAGAATGTCTCCTGGTTTGGAAAGGACTTTAAAGATAATTTYTTTCCAACYCTACTGCCGTGGGTGGGGATGTCTTTGTTATCTGCAGTTTGGCTGTTATTTTCTGGARAAACTGTACACAAAGCAAACAGTGCCACCAATAACAGTGTAAAGGTTGCTCCGTATTTCCCAGTATTAAATTGCATTTTTAATTGTATTCACTTTGCCAGATCTGGRGGTAAATTTTATTCTGTTGGAAATTTTCATCCCCTTCCCATGGAGGAATATTTTTAAATTTATGATGAGAATGAGCTCAGGCATTTTTAAGACTGACATTAATGAGTTGGGATAGGGGAAGGATTTTGAGCAAGGCAGAATGGTTCAGCTTCTTCCAGGAAGACACTTACTCTCATCCCAAGGGGAAAACTGGCCAGGTTTTACAGTCTGAAAAATGCTGCTGACACTTKATCAGCAGGGACCTGGGTCTAGCAGCTGAATTCCCTTAAAAGTCTGGCTATTTTAAGCAAAATCCTGTTTTTCTCTCTAAGGGTTGACCTTCCTTGTAGTTGTGCCACCAGCTGCCAGTGGATTATAATTTATACATACAACAATTCCACCCTCTCTTATATTTAGGTTGTTTAACACCTTGGTCTAAGCACCCTCTCAGGTATTTTGTTCCTGAATTACTGAACATAGGCTGGCTAATAAGGCTGAGCAAGAGAGACGAAAAAAAAGAAAATCCCACTTAGTTTATTTTTCGGAAGTGAATACGAACTCCAAAATGTGCTGTTACTTAACGCCGTCCCAGATCATTAAGTCTTCAGAGCGCACTGAAAGTGCTGCAGATTTGTACAGACATAAATCAGAGCACAGTTAGATCCATAAACAGCTGTAAAATGGGAAACATCCCGGGGCATTGAAGGAAAAGGATCACAGCTCGTGTCTGAAGCAGCACTTCGGCAGCAATGTGAGAATCCTTCCCCCTCTGCGCTCGGGGCTCCTTTGTTTCCTAACCTGAGCCGCCCTTTCTGCACCAACTTCCCTGGAATCKAACCCTTCTTAACTTATTGTATGAACTGCTCAAGTAAATAAACTCTCTTTCCTGTGTTTATCTATTTATTCCAGGGCAGTTTAACAACAGAATCAGATCTTCTGTGACTGGGTGTGGTTTAACTGTATTAGAGCTAAAAACATTWCCATCCTCTACAGACTGTGCTATAGATACTCTGCAATTCATGTATATCTGCTGGCATGAGGAACAGGAAAAACTCTGTACAGCCACCCAAGACCAGGTAGAAGTGGCTGCCAATTAATTGTCTTCAGCATCAGAAACCAAAATAAAAACCAAAAACCTCTGTGTTGTCCTCAAATTCAGTAAGAGGCCAGCTGTCACCACTTATTTCATCTTTCTTCCAGGTTGCCATAGCTGCTAAATCTTGTTTTAACTCTTTCTTCTTTTTTTTTTTTTTTTTTTTTTTTTTT